ACGGTTAGTCAATCCAGAAACGCGGTTAGTAGCAATAATATATATATATATATATATATATATATATATATATATATATATATATATATAGTCTGGTAAATCCAGTCTCGAAGTAGGATTTCCTTAGAGTCTACGTGCTTGTAACTGTGACTTCTACAAGCGGTTACCTCACACTATTACTCTACCTCCAACTCAATCACAATCACTGTCTCAATCTCTCTACTCTGACTGTTTCTGGGTATTTAACGGCAGCAGTCCAAGTGCACACTGGTAGAGTCCACGTATGAAAAAGGGGTGGACCCCATAACAGAATGTAAGAGAGGCAGGGGAAAGAGTAAGTGAGCTAAATGCAGATTTAGAGGAAATGTATATTTCAGTCAACATCTCAATGACAGGGAGGGTTTGTTTTTTTTTAATGGAGCGTGAGTTACCAAGAGCAACATAGGACAGGAAGTTGTGGAGATTCATAATCTGAAAGGAAATGTTACTTAAAGAGAGAACAAAAAGATAGATGAAGAGAGAGAAAAGGAGAGACAGTGGAGATAAAGAGAGGGAGATCAAAATACGAACATTTCGAAACTGGAGTTCAGGGTCTTTAGTTTGAAGTTGAAAAATAATTAAAATTTAAAAAGACTACTAACTTCATACAAAGATAGAGAGGAATATATTCACGTACGTGTAAAATCCAAGAGTATCAATTTTCAGTACGTCTCACTTACCACTAACCGCAATATTACATGTAAATTTATTGATGAATCTCAAGGCAGGTGAGAATTTCTCTATGAAGATAATGCGTTCTATAATTAAGCCGTATTCGATTGCATCGTCTTCAATTTTGTTCGTTCTCTTTTTCCTAAAGAAAAAGGAAGTTTAAAACGTCTGCATGGAGGTAACATCACAAACACCAATTTCTAGTAAAGTGTAATTATGTGAAACCGTTCAAAACATGACGCCATTTATAAGTTATCCGTACATGTGAGTTTGAAAAGTAGCGTCCCCTCAAAATGCCCGGATGTAGACAACAGCGTCTTGACTACCACAGTAATATTTTGTCCTTGGTAATGACCGAGACAGCAGGGAATCAAGATAAAAGAAAAACCATGAATATCGAATAGATGACCTGGATGTAGGACAGCTATGTATGAAAATAATGATGATGACCTTTGCTGTAGTTTCGACGTACGATGGCACAACAATCTTTCCTTGCATGTTTATTCCTTAAATGTCACTCGAGTTCCTGCTGTAGATTTGCACATCAAGCCTCGTTTACTGCAGGTTTGGAGTCAGGATTTTGAATGGAGCAGACTGGAAGTCTTTAATAAAATGTTGGTGTTAAAATGGAGCAAACGAGATTTTTTTCAAGCTTTTATCCCTTCATGACAGTCTTTCCTCCATTTTCCGCGGACAACTGTCTGGGATTCAAAATAAGTAAGTGGTACGCTGACAGACCAAAGTTTGAAGTTGTGTATTTATTTATGTTTGAGTAGTGGTCAGCCTATATTACGTACACCATCTTGAAGCTGACTGTAAAATGCTACCTTGCGTACACGGTCCTCAGGCATCGGTAGGGCAGGATGAGAACATATGAGGTGGGAGTGCATCGAAATAACTCAATCCCAGAGATATTGCATCTTGTAAAGGGCACAGCATTAGAGATCATGTGAGAAATTGTATAAATAGATATAGAGAGAAGTCAGTATTTGTGGAAGACATCAAGCTTATAAAAATTTGTTAAAGTGTGCATGATTCTGAACCGTATAAGAATGTTGCCAGTATGATTGCACGATGGACAACAACATATGTTTTCAGGAATATAAGGTAGTATATCAAAAGCCTGTAATAGATTACTATTAGTAACATATAATGTATAATTGTGTATTATATATATATATATATATATATATATATATATATATATATATATGTGTGTGTGTGTGTGTGTGTGTATAATTGTTTATATATGTATATATATATAGAGAGAGAGAGAGATATAGATATAATTATACTTGAATACTTGAAGCATTATACATCAAACAGTTAAAACCCAACCTAAACAAAATCAATTATGGCATCTCTACAAATATTCTTAAATGTCTATAATTGGTAACAGAAGCCATTGGTTTATACCAACGGCTTTCCTTACTTCATTCTACAATTCACTCTCGTGTAGTCATGTGTGACGTCATGGGATGCTGTGCGGTTTTCGCTTCTAGCGTCTTATATGCGCGTGTTTATGGGTGGCTTAGTGATTAACTATGTAAACAATGACAGACTATCATCACTGTCCTGTCCGTATATTGTTTAATATGTTTGTGATTTACATCTTTGATAATGGCTTAAGTAAGCCGAAAGCTTAGATTATATTAAAAAAATATGTATCAATATTGTGAATTTCTTTCTTCGTTTAATGATAATGTTATCAAACTTATCAGATGTTACGAACAAATTTTACATAAAATAAATAGACAACACTTGTCTATATTATTTAATGAAACGTGTATAAATATAATTATATATATATATATATATATATATATAGATATAGATATAGGTATAATTATATATATATATATATATATATATATATATATATATATATATATATATATGGCTGTTCGTATTGAGGATACCCGTCAAATAGTGCGCTAACCAATCCTGTTACAGGCGCTTGGGCAGGCACATTTGTAGTTATTCGACACCCACAAAGCCCACCTGTAGTTTAGACTACAACTATGCTGAGCAGACCTTAGAGTTTCTGGGAAAGGAAAGAGCGCGTTATCTAGCGTCATTAACAATCAAGCCCAAGGGTTCTGTCTTGGCTTGGGTCAACCTGTGGCATGGTTTCTAGGCACTTTCCAAAGTTGCCGCATTCTGGAGTCAACCCAGTCCGATAACATCAGGAATTCTCCTTCCTGACGAATGAACCATGGTGAGATTCGAACCCGAAGCTTATGGTCAGAATGTGTACGTTCTAACCACTCGGCTACTATGTATAGATAAATTGCCGTCTAAATTTCGCAAAAATGAAAACAAACTTGATATCTCATTTTAACAAATATATTTATCAAAATTACACAAAAAATATCTTGAAATCCTAAAATGTAAATTTATTCAATAAAATCACCACTGGTTTAAACTACGGACACCAGACCACTTCGGAATCTCCTGCACTTCTTCCAAGCGGTCTCCTTTTATATTTTGGTGAATGCTGCCATTATCCTTGGCTTCAGTTCATCTATTTTGTTACAGGGAATTTTATTGGTACCTCGCTCAACTGCGCTTCACATAATAATTAAGGGGATTGTAGTGTGGGGAGTTAAGTGGCCAGGTGTAAGGAGTGATGGGGGTTACAGAATTTGTCTGACAGCCATAACTAGATTCTCCCGCTTATGTGGAATGGTGCAGCCACCCTCTTGACCTACGGCAGCACTACCTCCTGAAAACATTTGACGCCCTGTGAGAAGATGAATGGTGATATAACGTCGCCATCATTAATGATCACGCATGGTGTTGGCTGGATATATCATCCAACTCATTCCGAATCTTCTGCATTCTCCTCAGATTGACACTCAACACTCTGGAATGTGCGTATTTGAATTTCCGGTGTGAATGCCAAGCATTACTGTATGACGTTCCCAAATTTCTGGTAGAGTAAATTGCATCATGATGCTCTTTTTGCTCACAGAGATGGTGCCCATCTGACCCTACTATACTGTGCAGTCGATAAAAAAAAAAACGCGCATGCGCAAAATTAAAAATATAATTGGCGACATCGTACCCTGTATATGTAGTAGTCTTATCCTTGATATTTCCTCTCTAATTTTAGCTATTTCCAAAAATGACAAGAACAATCAGTAAAATTTAACATTAAAAGAGAATTAAAGAATCAGCACATGTGCTAGGCCACAAAAATTGCCTGAGCCGACCAAGCATAGAAATGAATACAATATGGGAACCAGTAATAAAGGGTGCCAGAGAAAAGCGATGATAACAATAAAAATTGCAATATGAGCTCTGGTAAAAACATGTAATGATAACAGCAAAAAAATGCAATATGAGCACTGGTAAAAAACGGTTGCTGAAGACATTAGGTTTGCAATACCCAGAAATTCATACACAGATGTCCACAAGGACACATGGCACATTGGATAAAAGGCGTTAGTTAGATCCAGTGACAGGACCCAAAGAGTGTGAGTTCAATACCCGGTTAAGGCAGTGGAACTAGAACAGCCTACCACAGAGAGCGAAATAAAGGGTTCAGTTCGACATTCCAACCACCGAAGAAGGCCGGAGCATACAACGGCCGAAACGTTGTAATAAATATGGCAACAAAGATGAGGTCAATAATCCGGTGAATAGTGATCAAAAGAGAAATTATATTGTAATCACGTTGAATGCAAGAAACGCAATATTTATAATTCTACCACTCGTAAGTTCATTGAATATTGTTGCCACAGTAGACGTTGAGCTCCTGCTATACATCTCGCACAGATTCTCGACAAAATCCAAAGAAGTGTCTCTAACGTTAACATTAATATTTTTACGTGAGTTTTTCTAATTAATCCTCAGTTTTTACAGCTCGTCCGCATGAATTTAAGCATAGTACTAGATTGGCAACGAGGTGTCTTTCTGCTGTTGAAATTACTACACGATCTATTTTAAAAGTTTAATTTCATGTACTTCTACGGTTTTATGCTTCCCTGCAACCTGCATTTTAAAAAAAAAATGTCCTTTGCCATTTTCTGTCTTCCTGAATCATTTCTTTTATTCACCTTTTTTCGCACTAATATCTTCTCATTCTCTTTCACTCGAAGTCGATTACTTGGAACTTAATGTCATATTGCTTGCGGTGAAGTGATTAAAAATAATTATGAAAATACTGAATTTAGCTTACAGGGCAATCGAGAATTAAACTTACTTTTTTGTCATATACAAACCAAAAATATTGTTACAGATCATCTCTCTGATTAACAAGTATCCATTAAAAAAAGCTGCACATCTTACCGCACCTGGTATTCCCAAGAGCCCACCCGTCTAGGTACCGACCAGGCTCGACATTGCTTAACTTCGGGGATCGTACGGCAACCAATGTATCAACGTGATGTAACCGTAACCTTATTTACACAGAGAAATGTGTCATTCGAAGGAAAAATATATAAAAACTGATTGCGGATTATTTCCACTTATTTACAGAGTTGAATGAAGAGCTATATTGGATGAATCTGATGTTTATCCATTTGGTTGTATCCTTGATTAAAATAATAAACAACGCCCGGATAGAGTAATATTTTTGGCTAGTATTGACAGCAAATATTTCCTTTAAAACCAGATTAAACGAAGAGAAATATTGTAATTTCTTGGACAAGATTTTTTGCGTAGTAGAAGACAACTAATAAGCTTTAAGCTAATATTTATTTTCTTGCAAGACAAAGATCTTTGATATTTTACGACATATACTATTAGACAACAGTAAATAGTACTTTCCAAAAAATCTCAAATATAGCAAATTAATAAAATGTTTCCTTTCGACTCTTCAGTTAATACTTAATTAACAGATTTGGGCTCCATTATTTAAAAGGATTAATATAAGAATAGAAAATAAAGTAAATCTTTGAACTAATAAATAGTGTTACTATAGAAATGTCTGTGAAAAAACATACAGAAACACTGAATTAACAATCAGCGAAAGGTTTAGAAAATTGGTTCAGCTAAATAATACATCAGCAAAACACGACTCTGGGAGAGATTAAATCCCAGTCAAATGGAAAGTAAAGCTGAAACTACGTAGATAAAACGAAGAAAATAATGCCTAAACTCTAATGCCATAGACTGACGAACGACTTAATTTTTAGATCATATATCATTTCATAAGGGAAATTAAAATGATTTCAAAAATATAATGAGAAATAAAATAACCATAACAAACAGCAATCTGAAAATTTAAAATAACAATTATTTCACTATTAAAAAAATAAATAAATTTCGACATTAAAAGATCAATGGGTTTACACGTTTTGTAAAACTAATCAAAACAAAACCAAACAATTTTTTAAAAAATTTAAATTGGATATAAAACACTTTTGAAGAGGCCAGTAAGTAAAACTTGAAGATCTTAAAGAAATCACCAGCGAAATAGTCACCCCAAAAACAAATGAAAAAAAAATGGCTGACAGATGCAATTGTGATCTAAAGAAAAAAACGAAAGTCAAGAGTAAAGAATACAGCACTGAGAAACAGAGGTTGCACAAAATTCGTCGATTACATCGCAGAAGAATGTTGGCCGGATATCATTTTGATTATTACGGTGAGCAATTATTACTGATGATAAGGTTGGGACGATTTAAAAAAGATTTTATATATAAAAAACTTGATATTTTTTATTATCATCAAACTGGAATTATGCGAATTCTGTCTGTAACTAGTTTTTTTTTTTGTGCAAATATATTAATATTATTGTTATTGTGTCTGTCAAGTGTGTTATTATGGCATAGATATGAAAGAAACAATTTGGCTGTCAATAATGTACTTCTGAAAACCATTATTTACTTGCGATTGTTTGATATTAAGAAATAGCTTGCGTGAGGATGAGTGCATGAACTCAACATAGATTTAAACAATTTCTACTACACTTAGGTGCAGAAAAGAAAGCACATATTCGCCTAAAAGAAAATTGTAATAAATCAGGCAAAAATATCATGTCAGTCTCGTTTATCGAAAGCACACACACACATATATTTTCCACTGCCGTGGTCACCATACCCACCATCGAATTATGGTTAATGATGATATTCAAGAGAAATTAGAGCAATGGATGCCGATTCCTTTTGCACTGGGGATATTGAGGTTACCCCGTCCTTCCTCTCAGAATGCATTCTGCCCACTGGTAAAGAATTTAACCACTGAGAACGTAGCTCTCATGCACGGCCGTCTTGGGTATGACGATAAAATACGTCCAGCAGCAAGAGGTTTGAGGAGCATGGAACCACCTCTTAACTGCTGGTGTTCCCAGGTCCAGCCTGACCCGGGGTGGTAGCACCTGTAAGGGTCCCAGATATGGGCAAATAGTTAACTATTACCAGCAACATATTTTTGAAAATAAATATTGCCAGCAATACTTTTTAGAAGGAATATTATTACAGAAACAGATTTTTGACAAAACAAAACATTACTATCAATCAAAAATGTTTGTCGACATTAAATAAACCATTGATGTTGATATGCTTTAAAACAAAACAAACCAACACACGCACAGGCTGGCAATTGGCCGATGACTGCTTGCTACATGTGGGTCGGGGAGAGGCATTACCCTTCATCAGTCGGATCAGGAAGCCATCCGACTACAGTTTAACCGGCAAATCGATGCCTTTACCTGGGGTGTGACCGACACAGTGTTCATTCGAATTATTGAAGAAATGTGTGAGAGTTGGATATATGGCGCGGACTAGTACAGTTCTGTATCATAATTCACCTGAGCAAATCAGTTTAATTAAATAATCAGTTTAATTAAATAATTGCATTTGAAGTTGGTAGTTTCTGTTTTTGAAACATGGTAATTCCTGTATAGCGAAGGAACCATATTTTGAAATCATTTAATTTATAATATTTATGCTTTGGAAATTTACATTGAGCACTGTTTTGTAAAAATAAAAATATCTGTAAGAACACAGGATTATATAACTTACTGTTCTTTTTTTTTTTTACTATAATATATATATATATATATATATATATATATATATATATATATATATATATATATATATATATATTATTATTATTATTTATCTAGTAATATTTATTGTTAGTTAATTCGAACTGTCACCCGGCTGTAAGTTTTCTTTTTGAAAAAAATGCTGCTTATAGATAACGAAATGGAAATGATATATTTCCGTGTAGATATTTAAAAAGGATTTTAAACAGTACATTTATATGCACAATGAACATAATATACAAACAATATAAGAATATATACAAAAGTACGTGATATATGTTAAATTATAAGTTTAATGTAGGCAATATTTAAGGGTTAAATTAGTCAATATCAGGGACAGAGTGTATGTAAATATAAATGTCGACATTGAAGTCAATACCCAGGGGAGACTGTCTGTTTCATGCTAACCGCTATCGTTAGGCCATGTCTGATGATGGCCTGGCGATTGCATTCAGCATGAAACAATCTGTCGCCTCTGCGTATTGATAACATTATCCATTTTACACACACACACACACGCGCGCGCACACACACACACACACACACACACACACACACACACATATATATATATATATATATATATATATATATATATATATATATAGCACCTAGAGTGCTGGTGGTTTGCATGAAACTCCGGCAGTATAAAACACCAATGGGTATATGTTTATGTATATGTCTGTTTGTGTGTGTATGTATGTTTGTGTGTGTGTATTTGATATTTCTATAAATATTATTTTTATATTATATATGCTTATTGGAAAGCGCTCAATATCAGCGATAGAGCTAAGATACACCAATACAACTAAGTATATATACATACACACACACACATATATATATATATATATATATATATATATATATATATATATATATATATATATATATATAGAGAGAGAGAGAGAGAGAGAGAGTCATCCACAGGCACACTGTTTCGCAGTTTCATAGCTCATCAATGTATGTAGACATCCGATTGCCTCAAGGCGGGTTCGAACCCGACTGATTCATTCGGAGACTTTTATATATATATATATATATATATATATATATATATATATATATATATATATATATATATATATATATATATATATATTTATTTAGGCCTCTGGTTTGCAAAATGATAGGAATATTTAGTCTAGATGCTTCTTCTTCTTCTTCTGCTATATGCTGTTTCCCTCTAAGACTTTGATGATCATACCTCTGAGGAACCTTTTGTCTTTTGTAGCTCACAATATATTTTTTTCATTTTTGCTCTCTTTCACAAGCCTTGCTTCGGCTTGCTTTCACTGAAACGGTCCAAATAGGTTATGCATTGCTTTCCCCTGGCCCTCTTGGTTTCGATCTGTCCGGTTCGAATATTCTAAACCGTTTTTCCTGATCATGTGCCATAGAAATTTAAACTCTCTCTTTCTAATATTAAGTACCAGTCTCCTTTTTCTTCTGATTATCTTTAAAACTCGTTGTTGCTCAAATGTTCCGCCGATGACATTCTCAGCATCCTACTGTAGAACTACATTTTTGTTGTTTCAGGTATTTTCTTTATCTGTGAGGTGACTATCCGACATCCATTGCCATATAGCAAGACTGATATTACGTAACAGTTTTGCAATAATTTCTTTGTTTCTGACGATATTATTATGTTTCTTAATGGGGGAAAATATGTCGCAATGCTTTGTATCTGTCAAAATCAACGAAAGGTTACTTATATACTTGGTTCATTCATTGATTGACTTGTATACTTTAGTTTATTACTTGTAGGAATAAAAGTTATAATTGACCTCTGATAATCAGCTTCCTTCCCCCGCCTATAGCTACAGCTTCTTCACGTTCAATCTCATCGAAATATTAACAACGCAAGTAAAAACATTTTAGACAAGCTAAGGAGCGTTACGGTGCCATGAAAATGGATGCCAGTTCTAGCGTGACGCAGAATCGACCGTGAGCATTGCAGCAGTATTAATAGTTACTAGTGTCGCCGTTGCATTGAAACCTGACACAGTAGTCAGTACTAGTCGATGTAGCCAGCATGGTAGTTGCAGTAGTGAAAGACGTGACAGTAGGGTTGGGGAGGCCTGTGTTGGGGGGAAGGTCAGGGCGTGTGGACGTGAAGTTGAAGTTGAACTTTTATTATTCCCCCTTCTTTTAAGAAAACATTGATTGGTATGTATTCTTCAAGCTTACTATTATTATTATTATTATTATTATTATTATTATTATTATTATTATTATTATGGTGGTGGTCGTCGTGGTTGTTATGGTGGTCGTGATGGTGGAGGTCTCCTCAATGCTGTTTTAGTGTGTCATGACATTCGTTTTCAATTATTATTTTTTAACTTCGGTATTTCTATTATGTATTTCACGTCAACCCTTTCAATTCATTCCATTAGTTAC